ATCTAAAATGTACCTACTTCTTCAGAAATTGCTGAAGCTGTAAAAAAGACAAGAAGTAAATCTCATGGTAAAAGTAAAAATGCTTAGGTGCAAAAATAGAATTTTTACTGCATGGCTGAAAGGTAAAGCTTTTACTTATGAGATTTAGTCATAACAGGGATCACTTTTGTGACATTTGCGGATAAAATATTTATAATAAGTACCTATTTCTACGTTTTTTCAATCAAAATAAAAAACTGAGTACCTAAAAAGCTTTTGAGTGTTAAAATGATTATTTAAATATCAGTTTGCAAGGTAATTATTAAAAAAACAAAGTTTTCAATTAGTGGCACTGCTATAATTGTAAATTATAAAGAATCGTAGTATTTTTATAAAAATAGGAGTAGGTAACAATTTTAGATCAAAAAAAGGATCTAATTTTTACAAAAAAAAGTATTTACAAAAAAATTATTAAAGTTATTAGAATTTATATTATTGCCAGTTTATATTGTGTTATTAAAAGATCTAATTTATTTGAGTGTTAAAAGTGACGATTAAAACACTGGTTTGCAAGGTTAGGTAAAATAAAGCAACTGTTCTAATTATTGCTACGGCTTTAATTATTATTGTAAATTGCAATAATCGTCGGATGTTCATACAAAAAAATTAGAGCAAAAAAAAGGTAAAAAAGAAATTAGTAAATAATAGGGTTTTTAACGACCTTTTGTTTATTGATATTTCACTTTTATTACACCATAAATTATGTATATGAAAAATATATACAATATTTCAACGTTTTCTTATAATAATAAACTAAACACCGATTTTTAAGGTTATTTAGAAAAAAAAACAAAGCTTTTAATTGTTGCCATTGTTTTAAATAAACAACTTCTTACAACCATTATTTTTTTCTGACAATTCAAAGACATTTTTTACAATTTTTGAAAAAAGCAAAATTTTCAAAGTTTTTATGAAAAATCGGGGCTAGTTGCCTTTAATGCATTGACAGATTTTATTTTAAAAGTACCTAATCTAAAATTGCTACTTTGGAATTTCTTGAGATTTTTTAATACTCATTCTGAGAATGTAAGAAAGATGATTTTTGCGGTGTATTTTGCTTGCACCTGACCGTACAAAACTTCATAATCCAACTCAGTAAATTCCTGGCGTTGCAAACATTTTATGCTGGTGATATTTTGCTTATTGTCGCAATTATTTACAGTTGAGGATATTTTCACTAACTGTATAAGAAATTAGAATGGTTATCAAAGTGAAAAATGAAGAAACTAACATAACAGAATTCATTAAAAATTTAAAACGTTATCAACGATAGATTTTTATTGCACTGTGAGACAAATCAATTTGACAAGACTCAGTCTTCTAACTGTAATAATAGATTTAGTTATTGCTCAAAAATGCTCAGTATCTGCAATTGTTGCAGTTTCCAAGTCATTTTCTTGTCGCTACAAGCAAAATTGTGTGAGTGAAACTTTCTTTTTAGATATTTTTCAAACGCAGGTAATAATTTCGAAAAATATTAGCATATGAAAATGGCAGTGTCGCAAGAGGAATTTAAAATTTCTCACATTCTAGATCGTTGTGATAAGTTTAACATCTCTATACCTCGTGAAACTTAATTAATATTATTATAGGTGTAAAAATTGCCGTAAATGTCAATGAAACGCGATAAAAAGTGAAATCCTCGCTCACGACCAAATTCGTGATCCTTTGATGGAAAAAATTCTCATGCAAGTGCAAATTACACCCACGCAGCGATTAGCCTATGAGTTATAAACGCTCAATGCACCTGATATAAAATTTTGCAATAATATAATCGCAGTTATTACGATAATTGCAACATGACAGCTGAATGTAAATACATTGTTGATATTTTTGCGAGAGTTTGCACGCGATATGTGCACCGATGACGTTACTGCGTGAAATCAAAAAGAAACACATCTGATAAAGATCGTAGATTTCTGTGTTCCGTGATGCCTTCCAGCAATCGTAGCTACATCGTAGGCGGCCAAGCGCGAGAGGCACGTGCCCGTGAACCAAGAAAAACCCCAAGAGTTATAAATCTCGATTTCTTTACGGCAACAATGGCGTTAACTGGTCCCTAATCTCGACCCAATAGACCGGAAATTCGATTTCAATTAAGCTCGGGTAATTACCCGGAAACTTATCATTACTCCGGCTTCAAGATTAGATACTTACCGGTCATTTTCGCAAATTATATGCCATTTGATAAAGTACACAAAGTAATCAAGACCAACGAACTTGGTCTATCAACTCGGAAATTGATCACTTTCCATTTCTATTAACCAAGTGACCTCCTTTAAAAAATCGGTTATTGTTCACCGGAAATTTACAAGACAAGTGTCGTGCGTAACGACTTATCAATCGTTTCAGTCTATTTTAAAAGTGTGAGAAGCAGTTTGTGCTTAATTTTCTTATTTTTTAGTTTATTGTTGCTCTTTTAATCTTCTACTTTATCTCGTGTGTTCTAGCGAGACCGAAACAATAGAGTTTCGAATCGAGAAAAGAAGTGAAATTTAAATAACGCAACTGTCATGATTTACTCTAATAACTGGTCATTTTGTTATGCAAATTATACAATTAAAAATGCTAAAAATGGACCAGACCATTTATTATCAACATTTGTCGTTTTTTCTTGTCCTTTTATAACACAAAGTCATATTTTCCAATTCCTGTTCTTTGTGTTTTACAAGTGTCTATAAACTTCATCGTAGATTAATTTTCACACCGTTAGGAGCTGAAAAACCGTTATTTTTGCTTTCTGGACCGGCCACGTGGCCATTTAGCGTCAATAAACCAAAATTAAAACCAAATACATAAAAAACATCTTGTTGAAAATAAATTGACGTTAAGATGACAAAAAACACTTTATAAGGAATATATTTTGATTGGAAATGTCGATTCTGTTCCACTTTTGGAATTAAAAAAAGTAAAAGCACTTAGTTTAAAAATTGTTCAATTTGATTTCTTTTGGTTACTAAAAGGGCATCATAATTTATCAAAAAGTCTTGCTTGGAAGCGCAAAAGCTTATTTTTTTGTGAGCTAAAAATTGCTATAAAAATGCTAATCAAAACAAAAAATTACGATATTTTACAAAAGGTAGTGGCATAATAAAAAAGTGAAATAAAATCGTTATAAAAGTTGATAGTTTTGTAGTTTTCATTATGATTTGTCTTTTCAGCAATATCACTAGTCACACTTTTCGTAACTAGAAAAATATTTCACCTTCGGTAATGATTTTTGTCTCAAATTAATCAAAATTAGAAAAACATTTGAATATCAACTCGTTAAAAACTTAATTTTTTATTTAGATTTTGTTTATAACGTTTTTAAAAAAATAAACATGAATTTATAAAATATTTAATAAAAAAGGGATAGAAATTTAAAAATATGAGAAACTAAACAACAAAATTTCTTAAGTTCATGAAAACACTAAACATTTATGAGACAATTGCCTAATTTGTTAAAAAAAACTCTTAAAACTACTCAATTTGCTCAAAATATTAGAATATTTTGACTAACAATAGTAATTTTTGATGTAAAAATTTGAAATAGTATTAAAGAACGCGTTTCGTAAGGCAACTAGTTTAGGTTTATGAAACGAGCAGCGAAGTGCGAGTTTTTTAAAGAACGAGTTCCAACAAATTACTTATGAAACAAGTTTTTTATGCTATTTTTTATGTTTTGCGCGTTTTACGTACTTTTTTAACATAAAGGTCAATTCTTCAAACTGTAGGAACTTTTGCCCTAAGAAGGTGGTGGTTGGTGATAGATGTCACAAAGTTTAAAAAATTCCATTTTCAAAGTGTCAAGTCTCGAGGATTTTTCGAAATTTTGTTGAATTAACAATGAATACTGCAAAAATTTCATGCACACCACCTGAAAAAAGAGAAATCGTTCAAAACACCGCTGAAAATCACCATCACCAACTTCTAGAAAGTAAATTGTATTAGTCTATTCTGAACCCGAATTGGTGTTGAAATGACTCATTAAAGCATCGGTTTTGGAATAGGCTTTCTTTCAGACGCAAAATATAAAAACTAATTTCTTAACTTTATGAATTTATTTGCGCCATAAAACTTTAAAAAAGCAATTTAATGAAAAATCTCAGCCTATATTTTACACTACTTGATCAAAAATGTACTGCAACAAATTGTTTGAGTTTAAATTACATATTATATCTATTTTGATATTATTTTATAACAAATACATAAATTTTACTACGATTCTACCATAATGTACTTATAAGAAAATGATAAATAATAAATCTGTTATTTTTAAGCAAATGTACAAAAAATTAAAAATAAGTAACTCAATAAGAAACATCTTGTTTATAATAATAGACGTCCACATTACAAAAAACTCTTTTTGAAGAATTTTTTAATTCATTCATTCAGATTTATTTTTGCATTGCATTACAATCATTTATTATGAAAATTATTTTGAAAGTTAATCAATTTTTTTTTGGTTTAACAAAAGGCCAACACAATTTATCAAATTATAGATAAAGCTTTTGTTTATCGAGGTGCAAAAGCTTATTTTTTTATTTTTGATATTAAAATTAAAGAAATGCTAATCCAAACAAAAATTTAGAAAATTTTACAAAAAACTTGGGACCATAGTAAGAACTCAAACTCAAAAAAAGTGACATAAAATCGTTATAAAGTCTTATAGTTTTGTAGTTTGTCTTGCACGCCTCCTCTTTATCGCCATGTTGTGTGCAAAAATGTTCGATTTGTTGTTTCACTTGTCGATACTTGAGAAAAAGATGCCAATATTAAAAAGCGAACAACAATACTTTCGAATCGAGAGGAGGGCTGTAGCAAGAAATGTCAGCAAAGGTGCCATTCACTGATCACGAATTTTCAGTAATGTTTTCTATTTTGTAATCGCTAACCCTGGAATTAAATTAATTACCGCGTTTGCTTCTACGCGAGATGCCGTTATTATGTAAATCATCTGTGAAAAAAACACTACTTACCACGCTTGTTGCGTCTTTCGACCTGAAACAAGAAACAAGATGGGTAAATTTTTTGGGACGTGTTGAAATATGTAAGAAATGCTTCTTGACCATAAAACATTTTTATGGACTAACTAAAATTCCAAGTGTCGCAGACAACATGTCATCGGTTTATCACCCGAAGAGGAAAAAAGACGGACAAATTTATAGTGTTGTTCTCATCAAGAGACGTGCTTGTATGCGTGATTCAGAAGTCGGATTTCCGTTCAACTTTGTTAAAAATCAAAATCTTCATTGTTTTCAGGAAAGTGAGTTTCAGGTGAAACGTCGAACTTATTACGAGATAATGAGGTTCTCACAAATACCTCGAAAATTTCAGGACAATATCTGTTGAGTTCGGGAATAAATTTACATTTAAATCAAACAATGAACGAATTATTGCATTATTCACATTGGAAAATAAATCGAATAAAGAAAATAAAAAAACAAAATGCTTCAGAGTTTCTTGGCTTTGATTATGACTGTCATTATGTTTTTCCAGTTTCCCTCATCATTGTGATCTTTCATTACGTTCTTATCTAATGCTTTTTGAGTCGACGTCGCATGTAATTAAACGATTTATATTCATAATTTGTTATCTTATTTTCACAAGACGTGTATTATTCCGCTTTTTCTACATTTACATATCGATATCAATTATAGCTATTTTACATTCTTGTTTTGTTACAAATGAATAAAATTTATGATTTATAAACGATCCACGAGGTCGTGTTTGATTTTTGCAAAATACCGTTCAGTGGAGTCATTCAATACAGTTAAAAAATACGAGCCTTCGAGGAGAATTTGAACTTGACATAGATAGACACATAAGGAATCTCGTTTTTATTTTCCAGCATTGTTGAGTCGAATATTTTGAAAAAATTATTGATCCTTCAGTGTAAAATGGGCCATTCGTACTCTTTCGGCAATCGACTTCAGTCATTAGAGAAAGAAAGTAAACCTAGAAATTGTCGTTGTTCAACCAAGAAAGAGATACAGGGTGTTTCACGTAATTTTACGAAGCCTGTGCCTGTAAGATACAATCAATAATACATATTCCGATACAAACTCGATTACAAATTTTGAATAATTGAATAATCTTCTGTAGTTTGTTCACTCTTTAAAAAATTACAACGTTTTTAGTTAGTTAGTGATTAAGATAGATAAACTAGAATCATATTCATGCCGTCTCTTGATAAAACAAATGATAATTGTTTCTGAAAAACTGCAGTTTRTGACTATTAATGAAACAGTGATTAGTTTGACAACTACTGTCATGGGTCTCCAAAAATTAAATAGTTAGAAGTGTATTTTTTGTGTCCAGTGTTCTGTGACTTTTGTATAATTGGATGTGTATATTAGGCGCAAGCCTCGTAAAGTTGTGTGAAACACCCTGTATTATAGCCACGTGACTTATGACAAGAAGTCTAAGCTGTTCAAAGCAATTATTTTAAATTTCTCTTTTATTCTGAACGTTTTTAGACAACTTTTGCTCAATAATTTCAATTTGATTTATCTAGGAGCAACATAATAGGCATGAAAACACTAACATATTATTTTTATTTCTAAATTAAATATCAAAAACTGGATTTTTAGTACCTTGTGTTACAATAAATTTTACTGATGCTTAAACAAAATTAGTTTAGAATATTTATGTTTGATCCTATAACCTCATTTATTATTAGGTACATTATCCGTATGATTCTAAGTTAAAATAAACCGCTCAGAATTTTTTTCCTTTCGTTCTCAGAGTCGCATTTCATTAACTTTGTATTTCACAAAGATGTGTGCATCAAAATCGCAATTAAATTATTTCATTTTGAAATTTTTAAAAAGTTCTATTTCAAAGCATTTTTGAGCTATGTACTAGAAATTTCGAATTAAAATAAAAAAAAAATTGGTTAGTGATATATGATTATTATTGGTTTAATTATTTTATTATTAATAATAAAATTAGTAAAATATACAAAAAGATATATCTTCAAGTTGATAATAAACAAAAATACAGTTTTGGTAAAAAAATGTGATTCACTTAATTGTAGCACAATACAAAATTTTAAAAATAAATTAACAATTTGCAACAAATGATGATTTTTAAATCTTGACTTAGAAATGTAGTCGTAAAGTTTATGAAATAGTGTGTTAAAATTCTGTTTTTTATTTTAAAATTATAAAAAAAATCTGAACAAGATTATTGTCGTGAAAACACTGAAACAACTTGAAATAACTTTCAGCGGCCAAACATACTTTATTTATATCTTCTGAAGGTTTTATTAAACCACCTGTGACTTTTTTAATTACACTACACAATATATTTTGTCCGCAAACGTCACAAAAGTGACCACTTTTATTACTAAATATATAAGTGAAAATTCTATTTTTGCGCCAGAGCGTTTTTACTTTTACCATAACATTTACCACTGTTGTTTTTTTTCGTCTTTTTCGGTGCTTTAGCAATTTCTGGAGAAATACAGGGTGTCCCAAGTTTTAGGGCCGGCGCGAAAATAAATATTTCTAATTGATTAAAAAAATTTTGCTACTGCAAACGATAGAGGATATTACATATAAACTTCAATTTGATGCTTTAATATTTTTCAAAATTTTTTGCGTATGTCAGTGAGACCCTAAAAACCAAATTTGGATTTTTTTTTAATTAATTGGAATCTTTTCTACATGATAAAATTCTTTGATTTTTTCTAATGGTAACTGTGAAAATTGAATAATAGATTTCGAGTAATTAAAATTTTTATATTGAAAATTGGGAATTCTGGTAATTTATGGCTAAGTTTGGGATGATGTGCAGCTAATGCATTGACAACAGAGCGCAGGCTTCACAATAGAGATCGGGTACGTCGTAAATGTCATTGCAGACCTTTTTCTTTTGTCAAGAAATTCTGGCCTGATCACCAATTACCGCAAATCCCCCATAAATTATTCCAAGTGTCAGATTTTTAATATTAAAATGTTAATTAATCAAAACTTATCAACTTTATCATTATTTTATTTTTACAAATACCACAAAAAAATCAAAAAAATTTATCACGTAAAAAAACTCCAGTTAATTGAAATTTTCTCCAAATTTAATTTTTAAGGTTTCACCGCTATACGGTAAAAATTTGTTAAAATATCAAAACATCAAATTAACGCTTGCACTATCAAAATTCTTTTTTAATCAATTGAAAATATTTATTTTTGCCCCAGCCCTAAAACGTGGGGCACCCTGTACTTTTCCGAGTGTGCATAAAACTTGATACACCTGATATATTAATCATTAATCTTTTCAAAAATTAAAAATTTCGAGGAAATGTGTTTCAGACTTCAAATAAAACTATATTTTTTCGTTTTTATTTTTTCAAATCTTGTCCCAACCTGTCGCACATAAACTCATTGTGCCATCTGTCGCAACCACTTCGCGGAAAATTCATCACCGGAATGCGTGCTATTCGTCACCTGGCATCTTTCGTTTTAAAATTACTAAACRAGTGGACCTTTAGGTCACCACTGTTTGTGGAAATTAATTATGATCTTCTTCTCAATAAAACGATCGTGAAAAAGCGTTAAACAACGTAATTGCTATTCTTAAAAAGAATCGCTCGTAGCAAAAACCCKAATGTGACATTGCCTTTGTGTCATCCTGTCTTCAAACGTAATCATTGGTTGCCTAATTCCCAGAAATGTATAAATGTAAGTAGTGGTTGCAAGGGCGACTTGCATTATTTTTTAACCGTAATTACAGTGCAATCAGGGAAAAAACCAACCTGTGGCTTTTATGCAAGTGTACAAAACGTAACGATCTTTTTACTGCGAGCGACAGTTGGGGAACGGAGGGCCGCGCTTGGCCGACTTTTGCCCTAAACAGGTGGATTTCATAGAGATGCCAAGGGTAAAAAATTCGTTTCGAGTTTCTCTCCAATTTAGATTTGAATAATGGCAGGAAGTAAAAGTGCCTAAATTGGCAACAAAGAGTGAAATGTCGCCGAAAAAGGAAAGAAAATAAACATTACGCATTATATGGTAATGTAAGTTAAGTGCCTACGACGTGACTCATAAATTCTTTTGATATTGGGATCGTCTAACAACACTCACTTTTACGATCGTGACGTATTGTCTCGTTAGACAAAACCAAAATAAAATTTAATAAAAGGCTAAACGACTCGACTTGATGATCGAAAAATGAAAGTTTCACTTTGTTGTCCCCACCGGAAACAAAGGTGTATTTGATGGGCCACATTCCAACCCCGCTGGGGCAATAAAGATACGAGAAAAATTCCATCGTTGAGTAAGGCTCAAAATTATGTTTTTGTTGGGCAATTAATTGCAAAAATCGAATGCGTAACTCCGGTTAATGGCACACATGTACAACATTGTAATTGATTTATCAAGTCTCTAATCGATAATTTATTTCAACGGTAGCACTTTACAGCAATTTAATGGGTCGGCTAATGTGCGTCTTTACAAGGCCCAAAGTCGCCCCCAACTATCTAATTGAATGTTTTTCCACTCATTTGTAAAGTGATCGTGACGAAGGAGATTTATGACGATTATTAAAAACCGCACCTGAAAACCGTTTCAGCGTACGCAATGATCATATTATATTGATACTTCCATAAAGTATCCTTTCACTGACACTCGGGTCACCAGCGGCGTAACAAGGGGTGGCACATGGGGGCTAAGTGAGATCTATTSGAAAATGTCAGCAATTTTTTCTAATCACAAACAAGATTATTGTCTCTTCATTTAATAAAAGCAAACATAAAGAAAAATAAAAAATAATAATAAAAAAGAATTAAATAGGTAATAATAAATAATAGACGTCAAGATGTGAAGTTGTTTTTCTCTCCTAGTAGTCAATAATCATTTTCAATTATCAACCATGGGTAATATGTATTAGAGGCGGGTAAATACATCAAATTAAAAAGACTTAAATTTTCTCATTAAAAATATCAGAATAACCTCCACTCTAATTCTTCTGTCTATGTCAAAACAGTCAAAACAACAAATGGG